AAAACCAAGCCAAAAGAAATCTCTAACATTTCTCTAAAAAAAATCTCAGCCAATCTGAGCTTGGCTTGCTTACTCATGGCTGGTGCTCACTCATGGCTAGTGCTCTAGGACTTGAGCTATACCTCCAGTCTTGCAAGGGTATAATAATTGTTTCCTAAAACTCTTCCTATAAAATACTATTCAAAGGAACAAGAAACTGTTACTGTTTATAAACTACCAAGTTACTTTTTCTACTAACATTTCTGCTTAAGAGTGCCTTCAAATTTTACTAAAAGTATAGAAAGAACCATCAAAGAAAATATTAAACAAACCAAATCCTAATTATTAGAAACCTGAAGTTGGGAATAACTTACATGTTATTAAGACATATATGAGGACTGGAAAGGTGGCTCAGTGGTAAAGTGCTTGGCTTGTATGCATGAGGCCCTGGGTTCGATTCCTCAGAAAAGGCCAGAAGTGGCACTGAGGCTCAAGTGGTAGAGCTCTAGCCTTGAGCTGAAGAGCTGAAGAGCTGAAGGACAGTGCCCAGACCCAGAGTTCAAGCCCCATGACCGACCAAAAAACATATATATATATATATATATGTATATATATGTATGTGTGTGTGTGTGTGTGTGTGTGTGTATATATATATATATATATGAATTTTGAGGAGTATCTGTGGCCTCAGGGTTCATTTACAGTGTATTCTATTTTTACTTTTGGTAGAATTTAGGTCAAGAAACACCACTTGATCTTGTAGTAAATAATAAACACTGTAAGCCAGGCATAGAAGGCTCATGCCTATAATCATAGCTATTGAGGAGGCTGAGACCTGAGGACCAAGGTTTGAAGCCAGCCCAGGCAGAAAAGTTTGTAAGACTCTTATCACCAACCTCCCCCCTCCCCCACCAAAAAAATCCCCAAAAACAGAAATAGAGCTGCAGTTCAAGTGGTAAAGCGCTAGCCTTGAGTAAAAAAGCTCAGGGATAGCACCCAGACCCTGAGTTCAAGCCCCAGGACCAGCACAAAAATAAATAAAAATAATAAACATTGTAAACAAATGTATATTAAGTTAAGCAAAATTGTTAAGATTCTACTCAGACTTGCCTTATTAAGATTTTTTTGTGTGTGTGATGCTGGTAAAAGTATATAAATGGACCTTGAATTCGATTCTTTACAAGAATAAACTTTATCATGGTGCCACCTTCTGTATTTCATACAAAATTACTTCACTTAGCCAGGGCGCCAGTGGCTCACGCCTACAAGCCTAGTTACTCAGGAGGCTGAGATTTGAGGATCACGGTTCAAAGCCAGCCCAGGCAGGTAAGACCATGAGATTCCTATCTCCAATAAACCACCAGAAAATTGGAAGTGGCGCTATAGCTCAAGTGGTAGAGCGCTCACCTTGAGCTGAAGAGCTGAGGGACAGAGCCCAGGCACAGATTTCAAGCCTCACAACTGACAAAAAACAAAAAAAATTACATCATCTGATAAGTTTAAGTCAGTTGAATACTAAGTGTTTTTGAGCTGGTACTCGGGCTTCAACTCAGGTTCTCATACTCTTGCTTGGCTTTTTTGCTCAAGGCTAGCAGTCTACCATTTGAGCTACACCTTTTTTATTTTAAATAGTAAAAATGCCATACAGAGGGGTTACAATTACATGGGCAAGGCAAAGAGTACATTTCTTTCTTTTTTTTTTTGTCAGTTGTGGGGCTTGAACTCTGTGCCTGGGCGCTGTCCCTCAGCTCTTCAGCTAAAGGTGAGTGCTCTACTGCTTGAGCCACAGCGCCACTTCCAGTTTTCTAGTGGTTTTATTGGAGATAAGAGTCTCACAGACTTTCCTGCCTGGGCTGACTTTGAACCGTGATCCTCAGATCTCAGCCTCCTGAGTAGCTAGGATTACAGGCATGAGCCAGGGGCAACCAGCTTTGAGTGCATTTCTTATCAAGCATTGTTGCCTCCTCCTTTGTTTCCCCTTCCCATCCCCCCACCCTCGCTAAAGTTGTAAAGTTTGTTTTTCCACCTAATGTCTTGTACTGAGCTACACCTTTGCTTTCAGCTTTTTGCTGGTTAACTAAAGAGATTCAGGGATTTATTTGTCTACCAGGCAAGATTCACATCTCAATTCTCAAGTCTCAGACACTTGAATAATTAGGTTATAGGCATGTGTCACTGGTGTCCAACCTTCTTTGTTTTGGACCCATTTAGGATTGAAAGCTTAAAGTGTCATTTTTTAAAAAGCCAGTGCTCATGGCTCATACCTATAATCCAGGCTACTCAGAAGGCTGAGATCTGAGGATCATGGTTCAAAGCCAGCCTGGGCAGGAAGGTCTGTGCAATTCCTTACTTCCAATTAATGACCAAAAAGCTTAAAATGGAGCTGTGGCTCAAGTGGTAGAGTGCTAGTCTTGAGCAAAAGAGCTTGGATGGGAATGCTTGCCTAGCATGCATGAAGACCTGTTCAATTCCTAAGCACCACATAAACAGAAAAAGCTGTGCTAGGCTTGGGCAAAAAAAGCAGCCAGGGATCGTGCCCAGGCCTGAATTCAAGCCCCAGGACAAAAAAAAAAAGCTCAAAGACGGTATCTAGGCCCTGACTTCAAGTCTAGAACAGGTGTGCTCACACACATGCACAAGTGTGCACACACATACACACACATACACATAGAAAAGTTGTCATTTTATAGTTTATAATGGGTAGTTGATTATTTTTAAAGGGTGGCTTTATTTTTAAAAATAAATTATGATTTCATCTTAATTTCTCTAATTCTAAAGACTTTCTAAAAATGAGACCAATTTAACTTCCTGAGCACTTTTTTTTTTGGTAATAGAGTTTGATCTCAGGGTCTTATACTTACTAGGTAGGCACTCTACACATGGGTGGTATTCCAGCTCTTTTTGCTTTGTTAATTTTTAGTCCAGATCTTGACTTTTTTTCCTCATCCAGTCTAGACCATAATCTTACTTTTTACAAGTAACTGGGAAGACAGGTATGTGTATCTACACCCAGCTTTTTTGTTGAGATGGGATCTCACTAATTTTTTCCCTCTCCTGATTCCACCTCCTAAACAGCTGAGCTTATAGACATGGCCACCATGCCTGACAGTAAAGAATTATTTTTAAAATTTTAGTTATCAATACCAAAACATTTAGTTCCATATATATGCTAATTTGTGTCTGTGTATGTCTCTGTGTGTGTGCTGGTCTGGGGCTTGAACTCAGAGCCTCAGTACTATCCCTCAGCTTTTTGGCAAGGCTAGTCCCTCTAACACTTGGCCAAGCTCTACTTCCAGCTCTGTGGTGGTTAATTGGAGATAAGAGTCTCATAGACTTTCCTGCCCTGGCAGCTTTGAACCACAATTCTCATATGTCAGCCTCTTTAGTATTTAGGATTACAAATTTCAGCTTCTTCAGCAGCTAGACTGGATATGTACACACACACACACACACACACACACACACACACATATGTATATATGTATGTATATATATAAAATATACATATATAAAATATTGACACTTAAATGTTAAATTATTTTAATTCTTTGCAAAAACAGTTATACTGTCAATTAGTATGATTTTATTTTTTGTGCTTGCTATATGGTAGATTTTAAAGGTGATTAGAAACTCTCTGCAGCAACTCTCATCAAAAGGTAAGCTCCACTACCCTTCTTTGGACTCTGGGCTAACCTTGACCAAAAGTGTAGTTGCAAGGACTCCATGCAGTCAGACATCTAGCACTTGTATCTCCCACTGTTCTACTAGGCATTCTCCTGCCTGGTCCAGTAGAGAGGCCAGTGAAGAGCAAGGGAGCCCAGCCCAGAAAAAATGGCCACTGTTAATGAAAAAAAACATTGTACCATCCTCATGATGATACTCTTAAGGGTCCAATATTTGGGGTTAAGAAAGATCTGACCCTTAGTTTGCTCTTCTGTAAAAATGGCACTGGCTAGGGCTGGGTACAGTAGTACATACCTGTAATCCCCGCTACTTGGGATGCAGAGACAGAAGAATTATAATCTGAGGCCAATCTAAGCAAAAAATTAATAAGATTTAATCTCTAAAACAAGACTAGTACAATGGTTCATGGCTGTGGTCACAGCTACTAGGAAGATGAAGGTAGAAGAACTACATTCAGAGGTCAGTCTGGGCAAAAGCAAAAGAATCTATCTAAAAATAACTAAAAGCAAAAAAAAAAAGAGGCTCAAATGGTAGAATGCTTGCTTGCAAGGCCCTGAAATCAACTCACAGTACCATCAGACAAAGATTAACCACAGTGAATAATTCACAACCAAACAAGAACAGGGACTGAAACAATATTAGCAACAGTACAAGAGCTCAGTTAATATTCATTTCCTTTACCATTCGAGTTGTGGTTTGTCAGTTATTTTCCCTTAATACTATTACAAGCAGCACATTAACATTTTAAATTTTTAACTTTTTAAATGATTTCCTCACAATGAATCCCATTAAAAGTTATAGTGCATTCAGTGGCACCTGTGAGCATAATGAACCTTAAAATGATAACTGACAGTATAATGAAAATCATAATGTACCTCACAGTGGTACATTATATCATTTTACTTTTATGAGTATAATGGCTATAAGACTCCATTACACATTTCATTTCAGAGATTCAGTATAGCACAGTGATTAACTCAAGGCCTTCTACTTCACTTGAGCCATGTCCCCATTCCTTCTTATTTAGAAATAGGATCTGCTAGTGTTTTTGTCCTGGCCAGACTCAAACCTTGATCCTCGTACCTCAGCTTCCCAAGTAGTTGAGATAATGGGCATAAATTACTATCCCCAGCATGTTTTTTAAGACACAATCTTGCTAACTTTTTTAGCTATTCTATCCCTACCTTTTCAAACTAAGGACTTTATTTTCTCAAATTCAGTACATAAAACAAGTTTTTTTACTTGCTTAAAACAAGTTTTTTTACTTGCTTTATTATACAGGTATTTTCCCCAAGCTGTATAACAAAGTTATACTATAAACACCCTTGAAAGCTTACCTTGAGTGACTGTTTTGAGAACAATTAAGGTTGATAAAAATCTCAATTGCAAACTGGAACTTTTAAAGAAAGCAGCTGTCTTTGGTTTGTTCTCCACAGAATGCTCTAAAGAAGTATCGTGAATTCCTTTAATTGTCACTCCTTTAAATATGTCCTCACCCAATCTCCTCAATGTTGATGTCATAGTTGAATGCTGTTAAAAATAGAATCTTAGACAGCGCCCAACCCAAGAGTTCAAGCCCCACGACCGCCCCCCCCCACCAAAAATACAATCTTAGTAAGAACTTAAGTTCATGCTATCTTTTCTAGCACAGAGAAATATCAAAGAAACAGGGTTAAGCTTTATGTTGAGTTCACCATTGTTCTACCATCACTCACAACCAGCTTCTCAATTGCATCTAACTATACATGCTTACAAGTGATCATCCAGATCATGTCTTCTTCTTATTAACAATTTCAAGAATAAACTACTGGGTTACAAACATGGAGAGTTTTCTTGGAGAATAGACTGAAATAAGAAAATGGGCAAAATAAAGACAATGGGAAGGTGGCTCAGTGGTAGAGCGCTTGCCTTGCATGCCTGAGGCCCTGGGTTCGATTCCTCAGCACCACATAAGCAAAAAGAAAAAAAAAGCCGGAAGTGGCGCTGTGGCTCAAGTGGTAGAGCGCTAGCCTTGAGCTGAAGAGCTGAGGGACAGTGCCCAGGCCCAGAGTTCAGGCCCCACAACTGGACCCAAAAAAAAAAAAAAAAAGAAAACCTATACAAAGACAATGGCATTGAAAGATTTCTAAAATGACAGTACTTAGTGAAAGTCTACCATTTTTTTAAGGACCTACTGAAACTGCTGTATATGGGAATGCTTAAGTCACTAAAAGTTTCTATTTTTATGATCCAACTTTTAAATGTTACAGTTATAATGGATTTCCCACATTTGCATGGGAAGCTTGTGAACAACTAATTTCCAGTTCAATACTGGTTCTTCAGTGTAGATAACAGGTTTTATCTTTTGAATTTATATAGCTAATATTAGAAAGATATACTGAGGTGATTTTAAGGACAAAGGCCAATAGCTGCGTGATGACTGGTACTAACAATGGAACCTAATTAAAATACACTACCAATATGATTTTAATATCATTAAGGAATAGAAACATATAGGTTTTTAAACCTTGAATTAAAATCACAATAAAATATTTTAAAATTGTTTTTGGCTGTTAACGGTAAAGTAAATCAGTTTTTATTTTTTGTTTTTTTTTATTGTATGGATAATTTTTAAAATTTCTTGCTAACTCAACAGGGAGAAAATTGTCACCAAGATTTTACCTTTGGACACTGAAAACAATCTAGACCCCAAATCCCCAGTACTCAGTCTAAAAGCACACACCCAGCCAAGAACGAGAAAGAGATGAGACTAAATGAAACAAGGTAATACCTGTCAATGCCAGGAGGATTTTAAAATGAGCTGACAAAGCATTTAAAGCAGCCATGATAAAATGAGTTCCTATATACACTTAGTAAATCCCATCAAAGAAACAGAAAAGTACTAACAAATATAGAAGAATGAAAGAGAAATTTTAAACTAGAAATAGCATAAAGAAAAGAAAAAACTAAGTGGAAAGCTTCTGTAGCATAATGGAGGAGGCAGAAAAAAAAAGAATCACTTAGTGGGAAAATAAAACAACAGAATATAGCCAATCTGAATAACCAAAAATAACTGGGAAAAATAAAAGCTTCAGGGAGGAAACAAAAAAATAACCAAAATAAATAAAAATCCAACTATGTTAGATTTCCTCAAGTAGAAGAAATGCAGGTAGGACTAAAATTTCTTGGAAAAAGAAAAAACACTATCTCCCCAAATTTGGCAAAATGCATACATAGAGGCTGAAGATGAGCAAATCCCAAATGGGATAAATCCACAAAGACCCACACTGAGAGTACAATTACTTTTAAGAAATCTAAAGTTTATAATGTGGGTGGCAAGAGGGGAGAGGGAAGGAAGAGAGAGAAAGAAACTAGCAATAACAGTTTCAGGCCTAAGACCTATTTTTGTACACGATGAGAGAACTTCAGCTTTCTGTTTTTACAGCACCTTTTGCCAACATATATTTATGGCTCCTTTGTCAAAAAATCAGATGGCTGTAGCTGTGTTAAGTCTTCTATTCTGTTTCACTGGTCTATGTTGTCTGCTTTCGTGCTAGTTCATGCTGCTTAAATGGCCAATAAATACAGGGACAAATTTGCTCAACATCCTTAGCCATAAAGGAAATGTACAACAAAATGACACCAAGATTCTATCTCACTCCCGTCAGAATGGAAATTATCAAGAAAATAAACACTGGTAAGGATGCATTGGAAAAGAACCCTCATACAGTGTTAATAGAAATATAAACTAGTGTAGCCAACTACAGGAATGGAGGTTCCTCAAAAAATAAAAATAGAACATCTTCTGAACCTGCTGCTCTATTCCCAAGCATATAGCTAGAATGTAATACAAAACCCGGTAGAGATATCTATCCACTCATGCTTGTCACTGCACTACTTCACAATAACCAAGAACGACCAATGAATGGATAGAGAAAATGTGGAACAATATACACAGTGAAGTATTATTTGGACACTAAGAATTATATCACTTGAAGTGATAGAACTGGAGATTGTCCTGTTGAGTGAGATAAGCCAAGTATCTCATTTTTTCTCAAATGTAGAACACAGACATAAAATGGTTATAATACTAACAAGCAATGATGGTAAAAGGGGAACTGTTGGGGATGGGGACCAATGACAAGGAATCCAGTGGGAGGGGGGAAGAGAAAAAATGGGTGCAGGAAGTGAACATGATCCAAGTACTTTATATTTTTATTAAGATAGCATAATGAAACCCACTAAATACTGTTTGAAATAAGGCAGAAGAGAGAGGAAGTTTATAAGAGTAAAATAGAAGAGGTAAATTTGATCAAAGCGCAGTGTACACATCTCAGAAATATCACAAAGTGAATGCAGCCCTTAAGCTGACAAATGACCTTCAACTAGCCAGTTCCATCACCAGCATACAGAGCAGCCAGAATAGTGATGTTAGTGGGGGACAATTGGTTTTCTCTTCTCTAGTAAGTAGTACTGGGTACTGAGCTCCCATGGGAAGAGTATACACTAAGAAATCCTACAATTAAAACGAGAAGTGATCCCTTTTCCAACAGCTATGCAAATTACAAACCAGAAACAAGAAACAGGAACAAACAAAGCACTATACTCCTCCACAAGCCATAACTCTTCAAATAGCTGAATCCAAAGATGCTCAATGGCTGGAATGGCTAACAAATTAAAAAGGAAAAAGGATTGAAGGAAGTTAATGAGCTAGGTACAATAGCTCACTCTGTAAGACTAGATGTTTATAAGGCAGATTATCTGAAGGATAACAATATGAGACTAGCTCAGGGAAAAAGTCACTGACAGCCAAGAGCTGGTGGCTCACACCTGTAATCCTAGCTATTCAGGAGGCTGAGCTCTGAGGATCACGGTTCAAAGACAGCCTGGGTAAGAAACTCTGTGAGACTCTTATCTCTAATAAACAACTAGGAAACCAGAATTATTGTTGTGGCTCAAGTGCTCACCTTGAGCTAAAGAGGTGAGAGGCAGCGTCCAAGCCCCATGACCAACAACAACAAAAAAAGTCACTGAGACCCAATTTCAACAATCATAGTAATGTGTGCCTGTGATCCTTACTATATATGAGGCATGGATAGGAGGATCAAGGACTGAGACTGGCCCTGGGAAAAAATGACAGAACCATGGGGCTGGGAATGTGGCTTAGTGGTAGAGTGCTTGCCTAGAATGAATGAAGCCCTGGATTTGATTCTTCAGTACCACATAAACAGAATAGGCCAGAAGTGGCACTGTGGCTCAAGTGGTAAAGTGCTAGCCTTGAGCAAAGAAGCTCAGGCACAGTGCCCAGGCCTTGAGTTCAAGTCGCAGGACTGGCACAAAAAAAAAAAAAAAGAAAAAAAGAAACACAAAAATGACAGAACATGTCTGAAAAATAAGTAGAAAAGAGGTAGGCGCATGACTCAAGTGAACCAGCCTAGTAAGTTTAAGGCCCTGAATTTAATCTCTGGTACTATGTTTTTAGGTTGTAAATGAAGAGACATTTTGTTCATGAACTGGAAGACTTGGCATTCTTCTAAAATTGATAAACAGGTTTTACTTCAATCAAAATTGCAACAAGATACTTTATAGTATAGTCAAGAATATTCTCAAATATACAGAGAACACGAGCTATGTGTATATATTTTTTTTTTCCTGTAAAATCATGATCAAGAGAATAAATGGAATATGATAGGTCAATTACCTGTGTTCCTGCATCCAGTTGCCTTAGGGACCAATATATAAACTTCACAAAAGGCTCATGAAATCTGGTATTGATAAATGGCATCCACTGTAGCTGCTCTGTCATCAAAGGTAAAAGCTAGAGATAAAATCATGGGAAACACAGGCACTGCATGTTTAGATATCTGAAATCAACCACAATTTTCTAAAAGCAAACTAAAGTTCTCAAACAGAAAACCTTTTCTTTAAATCCCTATGTCATACAATTTGTCAACATGTATTTGTAACTTTAAATATATATTTCCTTTCATCCAGAAACAACACATGTAAGATTCAAGATCAATCTGTGCAAAAATATTTTTGAAGCTTAAAAGTTAAATTTATTGTACACATATAGCCATTAAAAAAGATAATCTAAGGCCAAACATAGTGTTCATGCCTATACTCCCAGATACTCAGAAGGTGGAGATAGTGAATATCAATGCCAGCCAGGACAAAAGGTGAGACATGCTTCCCCATCTCAATCAATACACTAAATGTGATGGAATGTGACTAAAAGTCCGAGTGCTTAGGAAGCTACAAGTAGGAGAACTGAGGCCCTAGGCTGATCCTGGACCAAAATATGAAACCTTATCTGAAATACAATGCAGAGTAAGTCTGGAGACCTGGCTTAAGAGGTAGAGTGCCTGCCTAGCAAATGCTAGAACCTGAATTTAAATCCCAATACCATCTAAATAAATCAATTAAAAATGAACTACATAGGTATTTTCATCACTATGGAATAGTCTAGAAAAAAGGTTACAAAAGAGCAAGATCTCATTTACATAAAATGTGTCTATACTTTCACTGAAAGAGCTATAAAGATATCTTTTAAATAATACAAGAAAGGCTGTACTTTAAAAATCAAAGTAATATTTACTTTCCACTTTCCACACCTAAAAATACATTAATAATATGTCGATATGTAAAACTAATTTTTAAAAAACTTTAAAAGATGATGAACTTTGCTCCAAAAATATGTTATTTTAAACTGGGAATAGTGGTACATGTTTATAATCCCAGACCTTAGGCAGATGCAATAAGATTATGAGTTCAAGCCAGCATGAACTATATATAACTTTTCAAGTATATATGTATGTAAACATATTTACATATAGAGAATAAACCTATAAATATCTAGTAACAGGGAAATATTTAAGACAACTAAATATCCACTCAGTAAAATAAAGAATATGAGTGTATTGTATACGTATCTACTTTCTATATACGTATTATGAGGGTTTGTTTTTGTTATTGATTTGTTTTTTTGGTAATATACATTTTTAATCCCAGCATTAAAGAGCCTAAACCAGTAGAATCCTAAGTTCAAAGCCAGTGTACATTACATAATGAATTTAAGGTTATTCAGCAAGAACCCCTAATAACACAAAACAAAAAATTTTCAAGTGGTAGAGCATTCACCTTGAGTTGAAGAGTTCAGGGACAGTGCTCAGGCCCAGAATTCAAGCCCCACCACCACCACCACCACAACAAAAATCAAACAAAAACGCCAGACACCTGGGCAGATGGCTCACACCTGTAATCCTACCTACTCAGGAGGCTGAGATCAGAGGATCATGGTTCACAGCCACCCAGGCAAAAAGACCATGAAACACTTACCTTTAATTAACTACCAGAAAACTGGAAGTGGCGCTGTGGCTCAAGTGGTAGAGCACACACTTTGAGCTGAAAAGCTCAGGGACAGCACCCAGGCCCAGAGGTCAAGCCCCACAACCAACCAAGAAAAAAAAAAAAAAGAGGTTTTTGCTTAATCTTGCATCTAATAAATCAAATATTTCAAATTAGAAAGAACAAACCTTTATACATTTCTCTTGAATATCACTTCTCTGAGACTTGGGTAATGGCTTTTCACCATCTATACCAGATTCTTCAAGTTTCACTTTGCTAAGGTGATGATCTGATATCCAGTCCATGAAGACAATTAAAAGTTCATATACTTGTCCATTAACTGGTCCCTATTTGTCAAAAATTAAATATTTTTTTCAGTTCATAACCTCTTAAAAGTTGAAAGACCAACCTTGAAATTCACGAGTGACTATAGAATAAAAAAGATGAATATGGTGAGCTGTGTGTGGTGGTACACAGCTATAATCCCAGCACTTGGGAAACAAAAACAGAAAGATCCTAAGTTAGAGGTTAGCCTGGATTATCAAAAAAAGATTCTGTCTGGGGAAAAAAAAAAGAATTCCTTAAGAGTTCTTTAACTAGGGGGAGGATGGGAAGGTATGGGAAGGGGAAACAAAGGAGGAGGCTACAATGCTTGATAAGAAATGTACTCATTATCTTGCCATGTAATTGTAACCCCTTTGTTCAGTATTTTCACAATAAAAAAAACATTAAAAAAAAGAGTTCTTTAACTTTGATAAGACAGAAAAATAAAACTACCTTTAATGCAAGAGCATAAAGCTAACTTAGAAGATTTCAGTAAATATTTCCAAAATTCATCTGTGGGCCTTCATATTTACTTCTGCTCTTTTATTTTCTTTGTCTTATAGTACCCATAATCATAATATACAATCATCCCTCCTCCCCAGCTTGAAATCCTTTTCTCTGAGAGCTTAGCAAATAGGAAGAAAAAGAAGAACAGAATACTTCAAAAATGTTTAAATTTAACTGTAGAATTCAGTATTCCTTTGTGAAAATCTATTATGCAAAATGGACTCATTAATATCATCCCAAGTTATATAGAACTGAAACGCAGGACAAAAAAAGTCACCTGCTCCAAGAATGATTTCACAGTCCCAACGTAACAAAAATAGCTGTTTTATATTTAATATTATTTTCACTTGGAAACTGTCCACCCTGACCTTCAGACTAACATTACATAATGACTATTGCCACTTGGCAACAATCCCACAGCAACAAAAGAATTTCTTTTAAAAATTACTTTGGTAGATGCCTGTTTCCTAATAAAACTTCCACATGTCACACCAAAGCCATCCTTGACCATGCATATGTACTTTAGATTGAAATCTGATTCCTTACTTCAAATGAAAGTTTGTGAACTGGAAATATGTTCCTATCTCTGTTTGCCTTTGTCAAATCACATTTTTAGCTAATTTAACAGCTTTCATACATTTACCTTAAACTAGGAACTATGTTACATTTAATTACTCTTTAAACATGTAAAGTCAACTGGGTATCAGCAGCTCATGCTTGAAAACCTAGCTACTCAGGAAGCTGAGATCTAAGGATCTCAGCTCAAAGCCAGCCCAAGCCGGCAAATCTTTGAGACTCTTATCTCCAATTAAGCACCAAAAAGCCAGAAGTGGAGCTGTGCTGTGGCTCAAGTGATAGAGTGCTAGCCTTGAGAGAAAAAGGTCAGGGACAGTATCTAAGCCCCAATTCAAGCTGCAGGACTGGTACACAAATACAAATAATAATGAAAACATGTCCTCTAAAACCTTTTGAGTACCTGTAAAAAAAAACAAAACTAGAAACCATCAACATAATAGTGGAAAAACAAACTGTAACACATTATGTAATAAACCAAATAAAATACTAATACACTTGATAAGATGTTCAGAAAGATAATCTTTAGTCAAATGCATACATACTGTATAATTCTGATTAACGTACCATGTAATAAAGCTGTTATTTAAAGATGGTGCTGAAGTTTGCATATGAAATGTCCCCTAAAACTCAAAGTTCACAGAATGGGCTTTGGGAAAATGATTACATTATGAGGGTTCTCAACTAATCAATGAATTAGGTTTATGAGTTCAGGGATTCATCATTTGATGGCACTATTGGGAGGTGGTGGAAATTTAGTAGGAAGAAGTACGTGACTGAAGGCATGCCCTTGAAGGGTATCCTCTGTCCCATTGCTTCCAATCTGCTCCCTAGCAGCCGTGAAATGAAGTGCACTACTCTGCCACATATTCTTCTACCATTATGTACTGCCCTTACTGCAGGTCCAGAAACATGGAGTCAACTGACTATTGGATGAAACCTCTGAAACATAAGACAAAATAAACCTTCCCTCCTTTAAGCTGATTTGGTTGGGTCTCAGTGATAAAAAGCTAACAGTAAGCAGTATAAGCCTAGCTATGAAAGAGGCCTAGGTGGGAGGGTTGTAAACCAAGGCTAGCCTGGGAAAAAAACTGTCCCTATTGGAAAAGTAACTGAAGCAAACTAAAAAGGGCTAGAGGTTTGGCTAAAGCTGTACAGTGCCTGTCTAGCAAGCAAAAAAGGGCTCAAACCTTTAACCTTAAGTTCCTTTGGCTTGTCACTGTTACAGTACCTGAAACATAGCTCAATATTGCTTTTCTTTTGAACAAAAAAGCATAATTTCATGGTTAATTATTATGGTTATTATTAGGGTGAATCCTTTTGTAGCAAAAAAAAAAGAATTTTTCCTAAATTAAAAAAAAAGATAAAGGAGCAAGAGAAAATTTCCTATTTTCCATTGGAGAAATTTTCAGTCACGTCATACCTTAAAAGTTTTTGAAACTGGTACTTTTTCTTGTTTTAAACTTTTTACTTCATGAGTAGAATGGAAATTTCCTTTCAGCCTCTGTATTGTCATAAACTCATACTTCCTCTGCAACAGTACATACCCATGAATTAGAGAACAATTTATGAAAAGTAAACACATAGAAAACCAAGTATTTTAAAAACCAATTTGAGAAAAAAGCTGACAACTTACCTGTAAGTTATCTAAACGTGCTTGAACCCTCTTAGCCTGAATCTCCATTTTCTTGTTTTCTTCACCTACGTCATTTAACTAAGGAAGAGAAAAGTTAAATTGTTCAATATAAACATTAAAATAGTTCATATTAAGGATTTCTCAATCTACTATCTCAATTGGTCTAGTTAAACAAACAAAGGCAAAAAACAAGCATTCATGAACAAAGTAGGTCACCGCTGAAAATCATCATTTTCCCCTCAAACATTAATAGTTTCTAAGAAAGGTCACGTCCTTCTATGAAAACTTTGTAAGCTTCCTGCAATTTGAAAAACATATTTTACTTTGAATGTTTTCTGCAGTAAAAGCTTTATCAAACTAATATATGAAAAATATGTCAGAAGTATGTACCGCACTAAGTTATTATTTAGATTCTAATATACTACATAAATAAATGGAATAACTGGCACCTTCACAATGTTGAGACTCCCCACCAATAAACACAGCAGTCTTCAATCTTAGTTTTTAATTTTTATTTTCCTTTAATGATTTATTATAACTTCAGTCTTCTACATAGTTTTTCAATTTATTCCTGGTAGTCAATTTGTGATAATACTATCTTTGATACTGTTTAATAAATCACACTTTTTTTTTCATATACAAAAAAGGCATTTCATTTTCATACATTGATTTACTTATACATTTATAATATACGACATAGAAAATACAATATTATATATTAATATATGCACTATATTGTAAATATACAATGTTTTATATATTTAATTTTATATACTTATGCTAATAATGTATTATAAATATATACTATTAAATATAGTTTTTATTATGTTATTTATATATAGAGAGAGATATATAGATATATATTTTTGTTGTTGGTCATAGCGTTTGAACTCTGGGCCGGGGCACTGTCCGTCAACTCTTCAGCTCAAGGCAAGCGCTCTACTACTTAAACCACAGAGCCACTTCCAGTTTTCTGGTGGTTTACTGGAGATAGTCTCACAAGCCGGGCGCCGGTGGCTTGCACCTATAATCCTAGCTACTGAGGAGGCAGAGATCTGGGATCATGGTTCAAAGCCAGCCCAGGAAAGGAAAGTCTGTGAGACTCTTATCTCCAATAAAAACCACTAGAAAACCAGAAGTGGAGCTGTGGCTCAAGTGGTAGAGTGCTCGCCTTGAGGTGAATAGCGCAGGGACAGTGCCCAAGCCCAGAGTTCAAGCCCCACAACCCACCAAAAAAAAGAAAAAAAGAGTCTCACAGACTTTCCTGCTTGGGCTGGCTTTGTACTGTGATCTTCAGATCTCAGCCTCCTGAGTAGCTAGGATTACAGGCATTAGGTACCATCACCTGGCTTATTATATTATATATTTATATATATATATACTTACAATATTTTATACATATTGAAAGTAATTGAAATTACTTAGAGATTCTGCTAAATTTACTTATTAATCCTGAGTCTTTCTGACAGACAACTGACAGCTAAGGTTATATCCCAACTGTAGGAAACTATAAACTTGGAAGTATAACTGGATCAAGTAAAATATAAGATAAAGAGGTATCACTACCAAGAAGAAGAGTTCAAATAACAAATAGATACAACAGTAAATGAAAGCAGAAACAGAATGTAAGGACAAAGATCTTGCTAAAGAATTCCAGGAGGCAACTTATCTCCAAGAGTCTAAGCTTACTTATATTCTAAAATTCATGTCTCCAAGTCCAATGCTATATTTTTAAAATTCTATTTATATCTCCTCATACAATATCAAATAGAAACATAACCATTCTTGTTTCTCTCTAAACATACTCCCTTTATTTTCATCTCTTTAGACAAACACTAGCAAAAAGGACATTTTTTTTAAAAAGTGTGTGTTTGTTTTCACAACTACTCAGGAGGCTGAGATCTGAGGGTTATGGTTCAAAGTCAGTCCAGGCAATAAAGTCCATGACACTCTTACCCCTAAGAACACAAAAAGCCAGAAGTAAAACCGTGACTCAGCACAAAAGCTCAGGGACAGAACTCAAGCCTTGAGTTCAAGCTTTGATTTCAAGCTCCAAACTCAGCACAAAGAAACAACAACAACAACAAAAAACTCACAAAAATACATTTGATATGTCATTTTAGAATTCTTCATTGACCTATATTTACCACCTACATATATAATTACAGTTCAATGTTTTAACATACTATACCCATGCTAAACAAGTAAACACTTATTAGTTATGGTGAATATCAGTGCCAAAAAAATCAGTGACTTTTTATTTAATAATTCTTTTGATTTTCTTTAAACTAATGGCCTTGTTTTCAAGAAGTTTTTCAAACTACCAAATATATCAGCTGTTTACCAAAATAGATTAACAAGAATCAAGAGCTTCAGAGTATCTTATTAGCCAGATGTGTTGGCTCATGTCTGTAATCCTAGCTACGTGGGAGATTAAGATAGGGAAGACTATGGTACAAGGCCAGCCTGGGGAAAAAGTTTGTGAAACACATCTTCACCAAGAAAAAGCAGGAATGGGGGCTGGGAAGGTGGCTCAGTGTTAGAGGACTTGCCTTGCATGCATGAGGCCCTGGGTTTGATTCCTCATCCTCAGCACCACATAAGAAAAAAGCCAGAAGTGGCACCGTGGCTCAAGTGGTGGAGTGCTAGCCTTGAGCTAAAGAGCTGAGGGACAGCGCCCAGGCCCAGAATTCAGGCCCCACCACGGGACAAAAAAAAAAAACAGTAGCAAAAAAGCAGGAATGGGGATGCATGCATGTAATCCCAGCTATGTGGGACATGGCAATAGGAGAATCACAGTGTAGGCTGGTCTATAGAAAACTCAAGACTCTATTCAAAAAAATAATGAAACCAACAGGACTGTGGGTGTTAATCAAGTGGTGAGTGCCTGGCAAGTAAGCAAAAAGGCCTGGGTTCAAACCCCTGTCCTGAAAAGAAAAAAAATCTTATTATTTATAAGTCCTTTATAATAAAGCTAACAAAATTAGACAAAATGAGCTAAGTACTGGTGGCTCACATCTGTAATCCTAGCTAATCAGGAGGCCAAGAGCTGAAAAGCACCAGAGTTTGAAGCCAGCCTGGGCAAGAAAAGTCTTCGTCTTATTTCCAATTGACCACCAAAAAAAAAAAAAAAAAGCCAGAAGTTGAACTATGGCTCAAGCTGTAGAGAAGCACTAGCCTTGTGCAAAAAAATCTCATGGACAGTGCCCTGAGTTCAAGTTTCAGAACCAACACACACACACACACAAACACACACACACACACATACACACATACATACACACACACACACACACACACACACACATATACACATACACACACACACACAGCTGAAATTTTCTCTAGCTGACATATGTTCTAACACTGACTTATAATTTGTTAAAATATAATATAATGCTTAGGTCTTAGGTTTTATACCAATAAAATAGGTCTTACTTGTTTTTTTAGATTATCATTCAGTTCTTTGAGTGAATCGAAAGATGATCTCAATCTCTTGCATTCTTTATTCCTTTCCTTGAGAACTTCAGTTAAATGTTCAACTTCTGCATTATGTTGCTAGGAGGGGAAAAAAATCTGAAAATTATGTAAGGTCCTATATCACTAACACTATAGAAGCAGTCTATGGTTATAAATTGGGGGGCAGGGCAGTTAGCACTCCCTGATCTGTGAAAGGGACTAGGTTTGTTTCCCAGCATCACAAACAAAACAAATCTGCTTTGAAAATTTGGAGGAACAAACTTTAAGGGGTGAAGTCCTGGGTTTGTTTTTCCTTTTCTCTGTAAGTTTTGCCCCAGCATGCCCTACAACCTAAGGAAATGGAGCAAAAACTTCCACAAAAACTCTGGGACAAAACATTCCTTCTAGCAAAGAAATCAGGAAACCAGAGGTGGGAAGAATCTCAGAAGAACAGTTCAGAAAGAGGATCTTTCTGCTTTAGTGTATGTGGAATTCTGCACATCAAGCTCAGTTCTACCCTGTGATGCTGAGGTACAAGACAGACAACTGCAGAGCAGGTTCTTAAAAAGAACTGATTAACTGATTAGAGAATTATTGCTAGTATCAGACTAACCTCTAAGTGGTACATGCAAAATTGCAAAGTCTTTGAAAGCTGACCTGAGATGGGTACCATGGCCCATAGAAGCTGAAAAAGAACTGTAATCTAAACATAGTTGATCTGAATAAATGCTTTAAATAATAATATTTTACAGAGGATTATAACTGGACAGAATCTATAAAACATAACTTCCAAAAGACTTCAAATAAAATTTAAAAATTGTTGAACATATGAAGAACAAAAAAAGTAATTAAGTATCAAAAAAAATCAATAGATGTTTATTCTAAGATGACCCAGATAGTGAGTTAACTGATGTCTATAGGTAGGTAGAAAGACAGAAATTCTTGTAAGAAAACAACAAAATAAAATCTGAAGTTAGAGATCGGTAGAAATTACCCAGAGTCTGAAGAATTCAGAAGAAAAAAGATGGAAGAAGAGGAATGGAGCCTTAGAAATCTTTTATAGCAAACAAACTAAACACATGACTTGCTGCAGAACAAAAAACAGAGAAGAAAGCAATTAGGACAGAAAAATTATTTGATGATATATTAGCTGATAATTTACAAAATTTGGAAAAAAGACATGTGTTTATAAAATCAAGAAGCACAGTAAGTCACAAATAAAGACTAAACTCAAAAGAAAATAGCAGGATACATAATGAATAAACTGCTCCTGAAAAGCAACTTAAAGAAAAAACCATGAAATAATCCTATTTATATAACATTCTGAAAAAGGAGAACTATCAGGACAGGAAATTAAAGGACATAATATTGGGACCAACTGGGAAAGTGAACTGCATATTAAATATTATTATTCAAACAGTACTCTTTTTCTGCTATGATAACTGTATGTATCTCCTATTCTTAGGAGATATATGTTGAAGTATTTCAAGACACTATATCATGATTCTCTAAATTATTTTCAAATGGTTCAAACAATAAGGTGCCTAGGTATGAAGAGGAAAAAGAAGCAAATATGGCAAAATGGTAATAACTAGTGAATCTAAGAAAAAAGGACAAATCACATTACTCTAAAATCAATCATACAGAAGTGAAGGACCTCTATGATGAAAACTTTAAAAACCTGAAAAAGGAAATCAAAACAGAACTTAGAAAGTGGCAAAACCTCCCATGGTCCTGGACTGGAAGGATCAACATTGTGAAAATGGCAATACTTCCCAAGGCTAGTTACAAATTCAATGCAATACCTATCAATATTCCAACCTCATTCTTCAAGGAAATAGAAGAGGCAATCCAAAAATTCATATGGAATAAAAGACCCCAAATAGCAAAATGATCCTTAACAGAAAGAACAGTGCTGGAGGAATATCAATAGCAAATTTCAAACTCTACTACAAAGCCATAGTAATCAAAACAGCTTGGTACTGGCACAAGAACAGTCCTTCAGGACCAATGGAATAGAATTGAAAATCCAGAAATGAACCCACAGACCTATAGCCATCTAAACTTCAATTGGGGAGCTAAAAAAATAGAATGGAAGAAAGACAGACTCTTCAGTAAATGGTGCTGACAAAAACGGTTAATCACTTGTAGAAAACTAAGCAAGATCCTTATTTATCACCTTGGACCAGAATCAACTCCAAATAGATCAAAGACCTCGGAGTTAAAGCAGACACTCTGAAAACATTGCAGGATGGAATAGGAGAAACCCTAGGTCTCTCTGGCAAAGAGAAAGGTTGGACAAATGGGATTGCATGAAATTGCAGAGCTCTGCATGGCAAAGAACATAGCTAGCAAGATCAATAGAAAGCCCACGGATTGGGAGAAGATCTTCACTAGCCATAGAACGGAAAAGGGTCTCATATCTAAAATATACTTGGAACACAAAAAATTAAATCCCCAACAACAAATCCTCAAAGAAACAACTGCCCAATAAATAAGTGGGTAAAAGACTTAAAGAGAAACTTCTCTGAAGAAGAAAGAAGGATGGCCAATAGACACATGAAGAAATTGCTCAACCTCTCTAGCCATAAAAGAAATGCAAATCAAAACTACATTGAGATACTACCTCACCCCCGTTAGAATGGCTATAATCAAGAAATCTAATAACAACAGATGCTGGAGGGGATGTGGACCGAAGGGAACCTTACTGCATTGTTGGTGAGAATGTAAACTTGTTCAACCACTTTGGAAAGTAGTATGGAGGTTCCTCAGAAGACTCCACATAGAGCTACCATATGAGCCAGCAATCCCACTTTTGGGCATTTACCCAAATATTCACAAACAAGACCATACTAAAGCTACCAGCACAACTATGTTGATTGCAGCGTTATTTACCATAGCTAAGATATGGAACCAACCCAGATGCCCCTCAGTAGATGAATGGATCAAGAAAATGTGGTATATATACACAGTGGAATTCTATGCCTCCATCAGAAAGAATGACATTGCCCCATTTGTGAGGAAATGGAAAGACTTGGAAAAAATTATATTAAGTGAAGTAAGCCAGGCCCAAAGAAACATACGTCCCATGGTTTCCCTTATTTGCAAAAACTAGTATATGTCTGAGACAAGCAGAAACGGTCAGATAAGTTGATGTTAGGCAAAATGAACCCCAAGATAAAGACTCAAATGTTTTTTCTTTCTTGCGATTGTTTCTAACATATTTATAAGATGATTTCTTTGTTGCTTTGTATGTCCCTCCCCCACGGTATAACCTCTGTTTTCACTGTATTTGATGTTGGTATAATTTGTGGAGGGGAAGGGAAAAAAACAAATTGTTTAAATAGGGATACAGGTAGACCCACTGCAACAATGGGATGTACAGACAATATAATGAACTTTACAACTTTGGCCTGGGGGGGGGAGGAAGGGGAGATAGGAAGGGATGGGAAGGGAAGGGAAAACAAAGGAGGAGGCAAGGAGCAACAATGCTTGATAAGAAATGTACTCATTACCTTGCCCAAGTAATTATAACCCCTCTGTATGGTATTTTCACAATTAAAAATAAATAAATAAAATCAATCATACATAATTACCTCCTTTATAATTTGAAATCTTGTAACAACTTCATCTTCAACACCTTTAATTTTACTCAAGGCATTTTCATGTCTGAAAAGCAATTGTTCTCTTTCTACTAAAAACTCTTCTCGCTTTTGAAGTTCTTCAGCAAATTTCTGTTGTGCTGTGGTTTCACACTAAAGCAAAATGTAAATGTGTTTTTTAAAATATGTTTACGAATTCTGCAAATTATGGTCTTCCCACTGACACTGTGATTTACTTAGTTTTTAGCAATACTATTTCCCTAGGGAAAATGTAGATAGTTTAAATTCCTTGCTTTACTTCAACTTCATGGTCCACACTATTTTACTACACACTCTACCTGTAGCTACTCTCTTACCTTCACAACTTTGTATCATCTCATGCTGAAAGATTCCAGGCCTACATAAATATATTGATCATGACCCCAGCCCAAATGATAAGAATAATAAGACAGTTTAGATACAACTGAAGAAAAAATACACACCTTAAAAAATGGTACAAATGTGAATTTAGCTTCAATTGTCTACTCAATTCTAAATACAATCCATAAATCTTTTGTATATTTTCATGGGCAACTATTTCTCTTTAGGGGAAGAAACACACACACACACACACACACACACACACACACGTAGATTGCTTACAGTCTATAAATCTTTTGTATATTTTCATGGGCAACTATTTCTCTCTAGGAGGAGAAACACACACACACACACACACACACCTGTAGATTGCTTAATCTACTACTTCAGAGAAGACGACAACAGAAGACAATATGTGTCTCCAGTCCAAAAGGTACATACCCTTTTTCCCTCCCTACATTACAAAGGTATGCTCAGGATCTGGTTGCGTTAAGCCCTCTTAAAATTAAAATGTAACACCTTAGATTCAAATATTGCAATACTATAAATGCTTTGTCTAGGACATAAACATACTTCTGAATCTTCAATTTAGTATTTATTACTTACCTGTAGCTTCTGATGTATTTGAAATAATTCATCATATATCTGATTTACATGATGCGGAAGTATGCTATGCCTGTTTGATACTTTAGATGTTGCATAGCTGACATGTTTCAAAGGACTGTCATTGGTATCACTACAACATTCAGCACGAGGTCTTGATGAGGCCACATTAGTTGGCGGGGCAACTGCAAAAGTTTTAAATATTCTCAGAGTAATCTTCAGGAAGAGTTGCTTTAAGTAAAAATTACAGTATTGTTAGAAAGGAAAAAAGGAATGATATAGCAAAAATGGTGATGTTGTAACACTTAGAAAATCTGCATAGAGTATAAAGGAATACTTTGCACTTTGTACAACTTCTCTTTTAATGTGTATGAAAACATGCAAGTACTGAAAGCCTAGACCAAAAAATGAAAAGTTACTTCAGAAATCTCTATTGTGCTAGGTGTGGTGGCTCATGCTTCTAACACTAAATACTTGGGAGGCTGAGAACTGTAGGATTATGACTCAAGACTAGTCAGGACAAAAAGCCTATAGACCCCCACATCAAGCAATAGTTAGGTGTTAGGCACACATTTGTCATCCTAGCTATACAGAAGAAAAAATCAGAATTCCAGTTGGACAAAAATCAAGAACTTATCTGAAAAATGATGAAAGCAAAAAGGACTGGAGGCATAGCTCAAGTGGTAGAGGACATGCCTAGCAAGTGTGAGGCTGAATTCAAATGCTGGTACTGCCAAGAAAAGAAAATCTTTCATCTTATTTTCCTTTCCTACTAAACCAAATTAACAATTAACCCAATCATACTGCTAATCATTGCCTTAAATTTCCACTGCTTATATCTTTGTCTTTGTTTTGCCTATTTTTAAAGAACTATGTAATGGTTACAATTATGTCGTTTCTTTTTTTATATCTAAATTTTATTATATTCAAGTACTTGAATAGAGGGGATTCAACATGTCAATTTGAGTTCAATACATCTGTTTATGAGTACAAGATTCATTTATGTAATTTCTTTATGTCTTTTAAACTATATGTGGGTGAGTCAAGCACAGTGGCTCATACCTGTAGTCCTTAAGCTACTCAGGAAGCTGAAATCTGAGGATCACAGTTTGAAGTCAATGAGCACTAAAATCCTAAGACTCTTTATCTCCAATAAACTGGCAAAAAGCCAGAAGTAGAGGGAAAGGAGAGATGAAATGTATGTAAACAAAAGGGCAACCTGTGTTCCAAATCCTGTAGCCCAAATGACAATGGGCACCCTCTTATACTACTAATCAGAGCTAAGAAAGTTATAACAAATAATTTAGAGTAGTTTCTCAAAATATTAGCATTAGACAGATACTATCACAATCTTTTCCTCATTCCATATATACACCAACACAAAAAAGTATTGGAAAACATCATAAAAGTACTGAGTTAATTGTTAACTTATTTGGCTGAATTGAGAATCTTTAGTGTACAACTGGAAAACAGCAAGTTTTATTTCATGCTTTAGTTTAATACATAGTAACAAACTTGTGGCTTATAAAAATTTAGAACACAAAATATATAGTTAGTCCTAAGAACAGTTATTACCATGGTTTATGCACTCTAACAAAATTATCATTTAAATGAATATTTCTTTTACCTTTCTCTATGTCTTTAAAAGATTCCTTGGTTATTTGGGAAGTACTAACTCTACGATTGCTCTTAATTAACTCTTCTTCTGTTTCCTGTTTCTTCAAATCATGAAAAGAATCCAGTTCATCATCTAGGCTTTAAAAAAAAATTCTATGACAAAAATCTGGAAATTTATTACAGCACTTGAAAAAGATAAAATTGCTTTTCAAATATAAACAGCTTACTGAGAAAAAAGTAAAAATAAATTTCAAATGCAAAAATATACAAGATGTAAAAATTAAGACACTGATTCTGATAACGAACTAACCAGCACCTTTCCACCTTTTCTACACATTAAACAGACCAAATTTAAAACTACATACACATGTACAATCCTCTGCAGCTGCCAAACTCTTCTTTTTATTCCCCAGTCATTGAATGTGATAGATATAACAAGTATTATCTATTATTAGTAAAAGATTTAATATTTAACATGAGGAAAAGGAACCCTAAAGAAGTCAAATAACAGAAAAGTGATATAAAAGGGAACAGAGCTATAGAATCCCAAGTGTTCTCTCCAAAAACGAATAATCTCAGAATTGAAATTTCTAGAGAAGCACTGTTTTAAAAGAATATAAGCTATATTATTTACCATAGCTAAGATATGGAACCAACCCAGATGCCCCCCAGTAGATGAATGGATCAAAAAAATGTGGTATGGGGGGAGGAGGGCTGGTTGGGGG